AAAGATGAAAWGGAGAAGTTTCACGTTAATAAAGGGAACAGTAACACTGTTTTTCAGGTACATTATTACCATTAGATAAAAGTGTATTCACGTTCTGTCTGGTACATCTTTCAGAAAAAGAAACATGTTCATAAAGAAACACTTGTATGTTCCTTGTATTCTTGAACTATTTTGAACTTAAGAAGCAAAAAAGCAAGTCACTTCTTCATCTGAATTTGCAAGAGCCCTAGCTAATCCTTAGCATGTTGTAGATTTTGACAGAATTCTGATTTGACAAAATTTAGATATTCTTTTAGGGATGAGTTTTGCCCTTAAGAAGAAGAACATTCCTGGTGAGTTAGAGTTCAGCAGTACTCTATGTCTGTAGGACTCAATTGGATTGCAAGTTTAGGTCCAGCCCCTGGCTGTTTTATGGGATTGGGAAGAGATTCTGAATGTCTATTCACCTGTAAGGGTTTTCTTTTCTTTTTTTTTTTTTTGGTCTGCGGCTAATTAATACACCCCACCTTTTCTATGATTCTTGCTACTCATTGTTTTGATGATACCACAGTATATAGGCCAGTATATTCTCCAGTTTCTCAAATCCTTTGACTTCACAGGCTTTATCCTACACATGAAATTAATCACATATTCACGTGCTTTGGCTGAATCTGGGCTGGTGTTTTGGCTGCCATGTTTGAACTGGGATTTGGTGAGCCAAACMTGTAGTTCAGTTTGGCTCTGTTGCATTCATCCTCCAGCATGAGAGAGTTTGATGGTCTGAAAAGTACTGGCTCACACCATAATCAAGCCAAAGGGACAGCCTAAATTAAAACAGAATTAGCTACCTACCTAGGTAGATAGCTACCTACCTAGCTACCTAGGAAGATAATTTCCCATTAATGTGATTTCCTTTCATATGAGGCCACCTAGGTTGCAGGAGAGCTGTAGGTAGAGGTGGGTGTCAGGAGTCTTGGGTTCTCTCACTATCCTTTCTTTGTAAAATAATGGGAAAATAATGGGCTCAGCAGTTGGCCCGGTATCCAGTTAGTGCACTGTTAGGAAAAAAGTGACCTGGTCACAGATTCACAGATTCACAGATTCACAGAATATTTAAGGTTGGAAGGGACCTCTACAGATCATCTAGTCCAACCTTCCTGCTCAAGCAGGCACACCTACAGCCTGTGGCACAGGGCGGCATCCAGGCGGGTTTTGAAGACCTCCAGAGCAGGAGACTCCACARCCTCCCTGGGCAGCCTGTTCCACTGCTCTGTCACCCTAACAGTAAAGAAGTTGCTCCTCACCTGGAGACGGAACTGGTCCTCAGAGCTGATGCTTGTTTACTGCTTATCTTGATATTTGTAGGGTTTACATGCATTGATGGATGTTCAGCCTCTCTCAAAAGGAAGCCACCTGCAGGAGTTTTCAGTTACCTAGGTCTGTGTGCCTATATCAAACCATGCAAGTTTGAAAATGTTGATCTTAAAATATACTTTGGTTTCTAGTCTTGCGAGTAGCCAAAACACATTTCATACCACATGAGGACTAGGAACTTATTAAGGTGAATTAAGTATTTTAAAACCTTTTATAGAAACTGGAAAGTGTGTGCAGGCTAGTGTGTATCAAGAGGAAGCGAAGTTTTGCATTCTAAATATAATACTTTCAGGGTAAGATCTTCATGAGTTTATCTTCATTTTTGGCTGTGCCATCAACTTGCCTGTTCATAGGTAACATTATTTTAGCCTTCCCTGACAAGCAGCTGCTACTCTTAATTGAATAGGGGATGATCAGAATAGTTTTGCTAGGGATACTGTGAACCACAATGTAACTGAATAACATGTATTACCCAGTGAAATAAGGACTATGAAAAGAGAGTGGTTCAGCTACAGTGCAAAGTGTTTCAGAAGGTAATCTTGAGCTATCTGCATAGCAAACGTAATAATGCAAAAAAGGGAGAAACTTTCTCTTGCTAAGATATTACACTTTTTTTTTCTGAGTAAACAACCTGCAGATTGTCAGTTGTTTGAGGATTCCTTGTGCTTTTAATGGAGATTATACTGGTTATTACACCCATGTTAGATTTTTATTAAGGGCTTCTATTACTTCCCATTTTAAGCATTTAAATATACATATGTATATTTTTAACCATTCCTGTATACCCCCGTCACTCCTTCTGAAAACACAGTAGATTTGCAGAATGTTTAGCTGCTAGTTACAACTGCCCAAGTCTAGAAACGTGGAGTTACTTCTGACATTTCATTCTTCACCGTAACTATTGAGCCTTGGCCATTCATTGGTTTTTCACAGTGCTTTGGAGTTAGAAGGGAGTTTCACAGATGAAAGATGAAAATCAAAATAAACTCCTTTATCAGCTAAACCTTGCAAGGGCATTCTGAATTTTACTGTGCAYGGGGACTTGATTGTGATATAACATGCAGCACAAGAGGGTTGGGATAAACAATTTATTCTCCCTTGTTAGGGATGGCCATGCATAGCTGACTTATGGCTCTGGTCTGCTCTGCCACTTGTTACATGTGCACTCATCCCTAACTCCCAAACCTCCCCAAAATAGTTTATCATACTCCTGTGTTGCATAGCTTTTGTCGAACGCTCTCTCATTAAAACTTTCCAGGGCAACTGAACGTTTCAGGACACAGGCAGCATCACAGAATCCCTGAATGGTTGAGGTTGGAAGGGACCTCTAGAGACCATCTAGTCCAACCCCCTGCTCCAGCAGGGACACCCAGAGCACGGGGCACAGGGCGGCATCCAGRCGGGTTTGGAGACCTCCAGAGAAGGAGACTCCACAGCCTCCCTGGGCAGCCTGTGCCAGGGCTCTGGCACCCTCACAGGGAAGAAGCTCTTCCTCACATGGAGATGGAACTGCCTGTGTTTACTTATCCCCATTATCCCTTGTCCTGTCACTGAGAGGAGCTTGGCCTCTCCCTCCTTATGTTCCTCCTTCATGTACTTATACATATTAATCAGATTCCCTCTCAGCCTTCTCTTCTCCAGGCTGAACAGGCCCAACTCAGTCTCTCCTTGTAGGACAGAATTAGTGAAGCTTCCCCCAGAGCTCAGTCTCACTGGGCTCATCAGCGCTCGCGGCGGCCGGAGGCGGCTCCAGTACCGCGTTCAGGTAGAGGCTGCTGGCGGGTGAGCGTCGGCGCCCGGCCAGGAGCACCTTCCTGCTGGCAGGACTGGCGGGGAGTGYGAGCGGTCGCAGGTGACACCAGGCTCGGTGGCCACCCCTGCTCTCCYATCCTGCCTGGAAAACGCGGCTGTCCCCATGCTCTGCTGTCACCTCAGGACCTCTCCGAGCGTCAGGTCCACTTGAAAACAAGTGCAGGCAGTGGCTTCCCCGCGCGGCCTGGCGCTGGGCGCTGTCTTGCTTTGCACTGCGSTTAATGTGTCGTGGTCTTGGGCGCYGCCGCTCGCAAGGCTTCATTCCTAAGCGCCKTGTGGATCAGCCCTTCGGCCATGGGCTCCCCTGCTGAACCAAGGGCCTCCGGGGCAGCGTGTGTGCAAAGACCACCGCAAGCCTGTGCGACTTGGCTGATCCTGTGTGAGCCCCTGGAGAGGGGTGGGCAATCCTGGTATGAGGGTGAATTCGTGCGCCACCAACCCTCCTTTCCCAGTGGTGTCGGCACCCGGGGACAGCGCTCCCATTGCTGGAGTGCATCTGTGAGGTCAGAGCACCCGGTGTGAGGGTGACTTTGTGCCCCACACACCTCATACCAGTGACATACAGGGTGCTGCAGTGCTGCTAGTTTCAACATGAAAATACTACTTTTGGGGCAAGGTGCTTTCCATCAAATGTGGGCTCACCCCACGCATTCCTGCCCACGGGTGTTTTCCAGGCTGCGGCACCGTCGTGCTTAGCAGGAGCGCCTTGACTGTTAGACCTTTGTTTCAGTGTTGCCGTGCTCCGGCTCCGTGTAACGGATGAAAGTTCATTTATATGTGAAGCAACTATTAAAGCATCAGGAGTCATCCAGGGGGTCCGGGGCCTCCCCTCCTCTTTTCGCATCCCATCACGCTAAATCCCTTAATGTTGTGAAGGAATCGTCCATTCATCAGGTAGAGCGTTGGAGGCCAGGGTGCAGAGAGCCGCTTTTATTGCCTCTGAGACATTGCAGTCCTGTTCTTAAGAAGTGCCAGGCAGATTGGGAATCACGGTCACGGTTAATAGCAGCGAATTGCCAGCTCTTGCTGGGTGGGTAGTCACTCCTTTCAGTGGTTGCCCCCCGGGGGAGAAGGTAGAAAAACAGAGGGAGGGAATTAGAGTGACTTTGCACAGCTGAGCAGGTTCCTGCCGCGGCATCGGTGGCAGCCGCTGGCAGGGCTCCACTCTGGGGAGGCTCGCGGCAACATCTCCCGCTCCTGCGCACCAAGTGGCCCTGCTATCACCGGTGGTGTGCAGCGGGGAGCAGGGGGACGGCGGCGGGGGGACAGCCTGGACTAAAAGCAACAAACAAAAGTGCCTGTAAGGAGCATGGGACCCCCAGCCATTCCCCCCCGGCTGCTAATTGTACTCGATGCTGTAGCTGAAGTTCAGCGTGTGATTAAAGAGTTGGCTCACAAACTCTCTGCATAACCTTAATTTTTTCAAGGTTCTTTGAGTGTAGAATGGCTTATAATAATGATTTTGACTAATACGATTTTTGACATGCAACTTTAATGCTTAACCTTAGTACAACTCCAGAGCATTTCATGTGTATTCAGCTGTAAAGAGTGATGATTTAAAGGGATAATATAAGAAAAAGGTCGTTCTAGAATGAACCTCTAACAAATTGCATAAAGGGAGCTTATTATTCCATGAGTAGAGAGATATGCAGCTTTTCTGATCATTTTTCTGCTTGGTTCAAAAAATTGTTGAGACATGATTGGGGAAAGAAACACAAAAAATGAAATAGAAAACTGCAAGCAGGGAACATTCTTTTGATAGTTATGATTTTGTTGCCACTAAAAATACTCTTCAGTAATGTGGTTGTTCATCTTTCCTCTTGTTTTGGGTGAAGAATTCGTTCCAATAAGAAAATGCTGTTGCTGGTTGGAGGATTGCCTCCCGGACCTGACCGGCTACCCAGCAATTTGGTTCAGTATTATGATGATGAAAAGAAGACGTGGAAAATACTGACAAGTAAGTGGTTTGTTTTTGTACAGTTGTCTTGATGAATTTAAAAACATGGTTAATCAAATTAGGCACTTTATTGATTTGTTTCTCTTCAGAGATTTGTTTATGTATCACAAGGGGCTTCACAATGGAGCAATAAATTGAGATTGCAGGAGATGCTAATTTTGTAATAGGATAGGCCTAAATTAACACTGGCTTAAAATCATTCCAGCAAGTTTTTTTTAAGTAAACTTGTAAGTCTTTTACACTGTGACATGAATACATGCATATTGATGTATATATGAATATAATCTAGTTCAGAAAAAGAGAAGGCAATGCTTGAGACAGTTTTCGCAGAGTCAGATCCCCAAGCTACCGGGCTTAGATTACACCCTTGCTTCTCTTTTGCATTTTCATTTCCTTCTTCCAGCTTTATCTGCTGTCCATAATCATTAAGGAAAGGTTTCCCCTGCACTCCTCTGCGTGCGCTGCTGACACAGGCATTGGTGGGATGCATCAGCCACAGCAAGCAGTGCATGGAGGCTTCTCTCACAAAATTATTTCCCACCTTCTTCTAAGGGGTGATTGTGTTTTAGAGCAAGTATTTTGCCTCGAGCACTGAGATTTGGAGTTATTGTTATATCGGTTACGATTCCTGGGCTAGCTTGGGCATGGAATCAAGGCGCAGCTTCCTGAGCGCAGCAGGCTGTGTGTGCATTAGTCCCCTTGTGGCTAAACTGGCTGCATTGGTCAATAAAACTAAATTTTAACTGTCAAAATTGCCCAAAGCAGTATAGATAAAATAATAAATGAGCAATTCTGATCCATAAATCAAAGCAATACTTCTAAAACTGGACAACTGGTAAAACCTGGATTTCCTCATAGACCCTTTTTTTTTTTTTTTTTCCCCAATAAAATACCTTTTACGGAATTCTGTTCTTYATATCTTATTCAAAGCCCTTTAGTAGGATGCACCCAAGCTAATATTATATTCACAGGTCAGGATGAAGGGTTTTTTTTTTTTTTTTTAAAAAAAAAAGACTGCAGTGAGGCAGGATTTGAAACAAACTGCTGCAGCATATAGACCATGTAGGTGTTTGTACCCTAATTAATATTTGTGGCATTGGGTAAGACTGGCAATTTTAAAAGGAGCTATTATTAACTGTGTATTTGAAAAGCTGATAACATCCATGCTAGGAGACACACTCCACGATGTTATTCAGCATCACAAAATACCACAGTATTTTCCTCCGCATGCTACTTCTAAATAAATTCTGAAGATGGTAAAACAGTGAGAAATCAATAATATTATGGAATAGAGGAGCATTCTGTTTTTTTMTTTGTTTTTTAATTTATTATGTATAATAATACCATGACAGGTAAAGGAATTGCAAGTCCTGTTTTAAAGCTTGAGCCCTCCACTGAATTAAAGAAATAACTTTATTCTGAATTACTTAGATCTGTAGATATGTWGATTTTTATAAGAATTGGGTTCATTCAGTTTCTGGTTACTTTCCTTGTGAAATYTTCTCCAAGTTTGTGGGAAAGTAGATGTGGTTTCCTGGGTACCTAAATGGTGTGGTTAAAAGTATAGACCTGAATTCACAGCTAATACTTGAACAACAGCACCATCTTGTATGTTATTGCTTCAGATTTTGAGAAATGTTTGTGAATCCTTTTAGCTAATTTTATGAAAAAAATGTAGTCTTTTCTGTTTCCACTGGAACTAATAGCAAACAAGCCCCCTCTTTTCCCTTCTGATTAATGCACTTGCTACTCGACACTGGAAGTCCTGAAAGTCCCTGGATCTGTTCGAGTGTTGACTAAGATGACAAGTGACAAATACACAACCTTGTCGTGACACATGAATGCCAGTGATCTTGTAAGAGCGGGAACGGCTGCCGTGCTGGCCTGGCTGCTGCTCTTTGGGGAGCTCAGAGGGGAACGTGTGTCTTTGCACACGGAAAAGACTTCCCGAACAGGCCTGGTTTCACAGGAAATACAATGCTGCTTACCAGACGGTAACCATGTGGCAAGTGGGGACAAGCTGGAGTCAAAATTGCATCTTGTTCTTTCCATAAAACATTAGAATGGCTGTACAGTATGGAAGTRTCTTGACGTAAGGATCAGAAGAATTGTGTTTGAGTGATTTTAAAGAAGACCATCAAGTAAATGCTCTCTATCATGCAGACTGCATGCTGCAGGCRTGATGCTGTGTCAACATACTATGACAGTTAGTTGGAATGGGAGAATTGAAGGACTTTTGGAGAAGGAGAAWTGTATTTTTTTGTTAGGAAAAGAGGTAATTATTATTTTAAACAATTTTATTTTAACTTTATTATTTTTAATAATTGTTTTTCTCCCTTTATCCTTTTATTCCTACCTCTTTCCCAGTCCACAGTTTTGGAAAATAATTGGTCTGTTTATTCTTATTCTAACCACAGAATGGTAGTGAAGGAGGGAACCTTTTATACTCTGTTTCTTTCCTGCTTTGCAGCCTTTGCTTAGACATTGCTGCTGCTCCCGAAACTGCAGATCACCCGCTCTAATCAGTGTACAGGAGGAGCTGCCTGTTTATTCCCTAGTAAAAAGGGACAGAGCAAAAGCCATGTCTGGCTCATAAGCCTGTGTGACAAGGAGAAATTTGGTCCTTGTAGCCTGGTTCTTCAAGCTATTGCTATCTGATTATCAACTTAGATGCATTTAATTTTCTCTTGTACTAGAAAATCTATCAACAAAAGAAGAGATTTTGCACTTACTGATGCTTCACAGAATCACAGAATCATTAAGGTTGRAAGGGACCTTTAGAGATSATCTAGTCCAACCCCTCTGCTCCAGCAGGGACACCCAGAGCACGGGGCACAGGGTGGCATCCAGAAGATCTCCAGAGAAGGAGACTCCACAGCCTCCCTGGGCAGCCTGTGCCAGGGCTCTGTCACCCTCRCAGGRRAGAAGTTCCTCCTCACATGGAGACGGARCTGCCTGGGTTTCGACTTGTACCCATTGCCCCTTGTCCTATTGCTGGCCACCACCAAGAAGAGTTTGGCCCCTTCCTCCCTACATTCTCCCCTCAGGTATTTGTACATGTAATGCTTACTGGCCCAGGGTAAATACGCACAGAAATTCCCCTTCCAAATCCTTCTGTATTGGTCCCTCTCTGTGCCTGTGGCACTAGGGGAAAGGAGGGCGAGAAATTTGCAGATTCAGTCCTGGATGCAGTGGCTGTGCCTGGGAGCAGCCCTTGAATTACTCAGCAGGACCAGAGACCTGGCCTGAGCAGGAGTTACAGGGCTGGAAACCCAGTCTGAGCRGGGCTGCAGGGCCTGAGTGGGGCTGCAGGGCCAGAGACCCAGCTTGAGYGGGGCTGCAGGGCCTGAGTGGGGCTGCAGGGCCAGAGACCCAGCCTGAGCGGGGCTGCAGGGCCTGAGCGGGGCTGCGGGGCCTGAGCGGGGCTGCGAGGCCCTGTGGCCTCCTCTCGCTCCGCGCTCCATGTCGCGCGCGACGCCCGAGGAGCAGCGGCCGCGGCTCTGCCCGCGATCCCCACGCAGCCCGAACTGCACCAGCCGCTGGCAACGGCAGCTCCACGCGGTAACAATCCCGTTTAGTTCCTGCTCTGCGGCGAGATCTCTTGACAGGGGATACTGCCCACCTCTCTGCCTGGCTACCCACAGCACCAAACGCATCACTACTAATGGGARCAATTTTAAAAGTATCAGGAAAGCAACTTGCCTCGTTCATAGATCCAGAAGAGGAGGGGAGGCACGCACCCATTTCCAATTTTTTAATGTCATCATCTATAGGCAAGAATGCTATGGCTCAAGGAATCAGTAGATTTTTCACAGTCTCATATTACAGTGTATATTTCCTGGCTCGTATTTTTCATAGAGTTGTTTTTTTTCTRTGTTGGCAACAAAGGGTAGAGACAGACTGAAGAAAAAGGGAAAAATAAAATAAATAAAGGCAAGGAAACGTGCACATCACAAGCATTTCCTGCCACCTGCTTGTACTTGATGGGGCCCAGTCCTAAACTGAGATTCTTAAGGTGCACGCTGCTCTGTAATTTGAAACATTTCTGACTGCACCGTCGTGCCTGAGCAAAGTAGAAAACTTTGCAGCCTGCATGGCAAAATACAGTGAACAAGTCTTTACTGAGTGGTTCCTTCTCTGTCCTGCTCACAAAGGCACAAACACGGGTTCATTTCTAGCCGGGTGCSCTCCACGTCACGTAGCAGCAGGAGGCCACTACTGCCAGCGACACGGGCYGAGCTGTTGGTGGGACAGACCCTGCTGAGAGCAAAACTGACAGCAAAACTTCTGCTCTGCTCRAAGATTGACACTGTTCCCTGCTCCTTTGCAGGCATTGTGCTGGATACCGGGCAGGGGTCCCGGTGCCACCACCTTCCTCAGCAAGAAGCACTTGCCACCATGTCTGTTTTAACTGTTTCAGCTGCCCTCCTACCAGCGGCCCTTGCTTAATCCCACAGYTCCTCTTGCTTGGTTGTTTTAATTTGCACCGCTTAAGATTAATTGAACTTTTAAAGAGTGAAACAATGTTACGTTTGTTAGAATTATTCTGTAATAATTGCAAGTTCCAAAGAGTGGAGCCTCTAAAGATTTTTTTTTGTGTGTTCAGAATTGCATAGCTCTCCCAAAAACCCTACTGCTAAGGCAATGATGTATTACTTTCACTTTCATTATATGTTTTTAATCAGAGCGTGACTTCACACTAGACAAAGCGATGCTTTATGCATGGTCTCCCTTGTTTTTTGCTAAAATCTTTTGACATGATTAATTTTACTTTAATGCTTTTGTCTTCTCGTAATGGTAAGGATGATGGGTATAAAGCAGGGCAAAAAATACACGCTTTTCTGTCATAATGCCTCTGAGCATTTAAAAAGTATATTAAATGAAAGAAAAAAATATCACAAGAGACTGATCCAACTGGAATTAAATTTCTTGCTACCTGAACAGAGAATGCAAGAAATAAATAAAAACGATGCAGTCATTGTTTTAGATTTTTTTAATAT